CGATAGGGCTTTGCTTTGGGGGGGTCCTCCCCCAGCCGCTGGCCGGAGCAGGGCATCGCCCCGGCTCTGCGTGTTTTGCAGCCAGCCCCCACCAGGCAGGAGCCTGGCCCAGAGGAGCTGCTCAGCCTGGCCTGGACTTCTGCTATGTCTTGTTCTGATCCGGGGCTGAAGTGGGGTCGCTGCCGAACTGGACTGCTCTGCAAAGCAGAGGGGCTATTTACAGCACAAAAAGGGAAAAAGAGGATGCTCAAGCCCGCTCGGCTCCCTGAGAGCTGGAGCGCCGGGCTGTGGGTACCACCACCAAAAGTGATGCCTTGGCATCGTGCAAAGCAGGATGCGGTTCAGGACACTCCCTCTTCCAGGCTCATGCCGTCACTGAGGGGTGCACTGTGTTTGGGCTAGGAAAACGTCCCCCAGCCAGAGGAAAGCTTCCCAGAGTCAGCTCTGCTAAAACTCCTACACTCCTGCAAGACACGCTGGCTATGTCCAGGCACTGTTTCCTGAATACATGAGTTCAGATGGAAGTGTTGAGGCCGGATTCGTTTTTTCCAGGCATCTAGAACACACAGCCCGATCCGTATCCAAATCCAGGACCTCCACGGCACGTTGGTTTACATCCGCTCCCTGCTCAGCAGCTGCCCGCCAGTGCCCCATATCCTCTGCAGCACAGGGGGTCAAAATGACCCGGGAACCTGCTGTTTTATTCTCCCTTATCTGGGCAGATTAAAGCACAGAAAAGAGAGAGGGCTCTGTAACGGACTGCGTTTTGTCCCGCAGCAAAAATCACTTGTTTACATTTCTGTATCAGATCAAGACATCCTTTCCTCTAGCTTGTATGGTGCGGAAAAATGCTCTTCGCACCTGGAAGGAGAGACCATTACTGACACCAGCGTGACCCTCGTAAACAGAGGGAGAGACTTCCCTGAGGACCAACTGCTGCAGGGCATAAGCTCCGTTCTGCTCGAGAGCCACGGGGCGTAGACGCCTACAGAATCTCCAAGCTGCCAGAGGTCATATGGACACGCACACCAACATGCTTCTCCTGTCCCGGGAGATCTCAGCAGGGCTGACCCTGCAGACAAAGCCTGCTTTCATCGAAGTCCTTCCCTGCCAGCAGAGCCTGCTTCTTCATACTCCCAGCAAAAGAAGGGAGAAGCGGCAGACGGCAGTGCTGTTAAGAATGAAGGCACTCAAATCAAGTTATGTCTGCTTATCAGCTCCCAGGAGACAACCGACCAACCTAGAGCATCCCCTTCCACCCTCTCACAGTGCAGGTTGTATTTACAAGCCTGACATTACAAGCCTGAAAGGCTTGAGAGAGGGCTGTGACACCAAGAGCCGTGGTTTAGGTCTCCTCCATTCAAATGCACGGCTGCAAGTTTTGGTTGAGTCCCAAAGGTTGAGTCTATACTTGTAAATGAAACAGGCTGGGGGCCATTCTCTGATGCCAAGGCCAGTGGGAACAGGACAGCCCGCATCCATCCACTCAAACTCACTGAGCCTTCAAAATAGGGTGGTTTCACCCAAAATGCTTGCTGGGAATTGTCCCCAGTCTTCAGCTTCACGGTTTTTTGGGAAAGCAGCAGCTGGCCCAGAGCCAAGCCATGGAGTAGGTGATAATTCAGAGGTACAGCCAGACAAGCTGTAATGCTGAGGTCCACTCGGGGGTCTCGATACACAAAAAGCCCCCTCCATCCCTGGGGAGGCTGATCTGGGAACCGGCGTTAGCGTGCCCAGCCCTGCTCCCCCAGCCTGTGCTGGGGTGAAGGTGCAGGGCGGGCTCGGTCCTGCCTTTGGGACACAGCCACACCACGATGCTCATTATAAGAGGGTTTTGGTTTTCACAGAATCACTAAGGTTGGAAAGGACCTTCAAGATCATCAAGTCCAACCATTAACTCAACGCCACCATGTTGGGTTTTCTTCTAGCAAGCTGCTGCTTGCAGCACTGGTTATCCAGACCTACGCCAAAAGAAGGATCCTGCACTTTCTGCAGCCCACGGAACAACCACCACCTGTGTCCCCCCAAAAACCCTGCTTGGGTTTGGGGGATGCCCTCCCCGCTACGGCCTGGAGGGCAGGGCTTCAGGGGATGAACTGACTTGGAGTGCCGACAGCTCCTGCGCTGGAACCTGTGGTGCACTTTTGTAGGCTTCCCCTTCCCTCTTCTGAAGAGAAAAGCTGCACCGCAGGTCCTGGGGAACACGGAGAAGAGCTAAAGCCTGGGTCAGTGCAAGGTGGCAGGACATCCCGAGGGCACTGCCGCAGCTTAAGGACACTGGAGGCGGAAGACAAGGGGCCTGGGTAATGCTGGGGGCTGCTGGGGTGGTTAAGGAAAGCCCAGCGAGAACCCTCAGGTACGCACCGTGTCCCACCGAGGAAGAAGGGGCGGTGAAAGAGCCACAAAGGCATCCGACCACAGTGGAAACAGCAGGATGAAACGAAGGAAAGGAAATCCCCACGGGCTGCCCGGCAGAGCTATTGATAGCAGTTTTTAATTAAACATTTCAACCTGTTTTCTTCGACACGTGTCTTTTTTTAAAATGACTGCTAACAACCGAACACGTTAGAGGGGCCGACATCTAACATTTCTACACCGTGTGTGTTGAAAGAGCAAAGACCAGGAGATTTATAAAAACCTGGTCAGTCACCCAGATGGTGACTGCACTAATTGCTGCACAAAAGTTTTTAGACACAAGTCAGAACCCCGGAGCAAGCAGAGGAATATTTAGAAATCAAGATGGAAATGGCTGAGAAGGAAGAAACAAACCCGAATGTGAAGAACATTACCTGCATTTTCTCCAACTTCTGCAGCGATTTTAAGTCAAGTAGTTCTGGGAAAACGTCACAGAAAAACTTGGCTTTTTGCAGGATCTGCCAGACTTTCTGTGTTTCCCAGTTCTCCATGATGGTGATTTACTTTCCTAAGGTAGCAAAGTGGGAGGTCTTGCAATTAAAGCTCTGCAAGGCCAAGCCTCCTCCTTGACCCTCAGGGAGTCACTGCGGGCAACCAGCCTAACCGCGGGGCAATTTTAGGCTGAGGGCTATTTTAACGAGTGAGAAATAGAGAGCTGGTAATTGCCAGTCTGTGATTTCCAGTCTGCCCCATTATAGCTGTGATGATGGTGGTGGGTGGTCAAGCCCCAGCGGTGTGTCTATCACAGGGGTCCTCCGGGACCTCCCAAGATATTTGGTGTGGGGCTGACCACGTGCAGACCCAGATGCTACCCTGCGCCTTCCTCAGCTACGTCTGGCAGGCAGCCCATGCCACAGGGCAGGCAGACCCTCTGCGTCACATCTCTGTGCCGTCCAGATACTTTCCCAAGGACTTGAGGCTGGGGTCCCTCTATGCCCGGACTTGGGATCGGTGGGATCAGCCAGCCGGGGTCTGATGGGCTACCCCAGCAGCAGGAGAAGATCAGAAGGTGGCCTGGGTCTGCAGACACCAGACTTTTCCCACGACCTGGGCCCCAGCAGCAGGTCACAGCCATGGAAAAACAGGAGCAGCCCCAGAGCTGGGTGCTCCCAGAAGCAGCCCCAAGCCCAGCTGCCTGGCACCTCTCTCCCGTTATGGGCCAAGCCACGCTCACATCTTTCCCTGCTGCATCAGTAGAATTAAAACAACTCAGAGAATCCAAACAAGCACTTGCGTCAGCTGAGGAGGAAGGAAGGGAGAGGCTTTTTAATGGCTTTTTTTTTTTATAGACGTCTTTGAAGCATTATTATCAGAGTCTGATCAGGCTCTATGTTGGGATAACACCAACCATCGCACTAGACCAGGGACAGACGGTGCTCGGTATCGATGTACCCCTGCCAAAAACAACCCCCTTGCAGTGCCAGGGTGCAGAGCAAACTTCCTCCTCTGGAGCTGTGCCACCACCGCTTCCCACCACCACTGAGGCATGGAGAGTGCCTGAGACATCTTCCCAGAGAGAAGGGCAGCATCCCTGCCAGGTCTTTGGTGAGGTGCCCTCACTCACAGGCAACTATGTCCCAACCCAATGTCTACACCCTCTGTAACCAGCACTGGGATGAGTGCTTCTCCCGTCTACCACACATTGAAGAAGGAGCTTCTCTGCAGTTGTGCACTCTCGGAGGAACTCCCTGCTTTTCTGCTTTTCTCTGGGTTTTTTTAGTAGGTTTTTGCAGGCATTTCTCTGTTAAGCCTTGCATTGCGTTGGCGAGGTATTGCTGCTCCCACTCTGTACGTTTAAGAGAATAATGTACTCCATCCTAAGCAGCCAATAAATTACAGACCTGGAGATTAAAGACCAGTATCTCCTCTCTCAGTGATCTGGAAAAGACTTCGTACAAAGCTTCCATTGTGTTTCTAGTGTTGATCGTGCAGTTTGGCAACAAATCCTCCATGTAAGGACTCTGAAAGCCGCACACACAGTCTTGCCCCAGTTGTCACAGGGAAGTCCCTATCACACTGTTTCCATGTGTTTGGGAGACTTTTGCTGCTATTTTAAGAAAGGGTTTGTGCCTTAGCACAGACAAAATCCCATGCATTGGGCTGTGCTTACAGAGAGGAGACAACGGGTCTGGGAGGAATCAGCTTGTTCCAGTTTAATCAAAACCAGCTGGGTGCAATTGGGCACAAGTCCCTACCACTGTGCAAAACCACCTGTAATAAAGGCTTGGGGCAGGGACAGCTCTAGTTTGTTCTTGAACTAAAGCACAGAGCAGAAAACATCAAAGGCTGAAGCTCCCACGGAGGTTGAATGTCCTCAGCCAGGTCCTCAATAGCTTTAGGAAGTGTGTATGTGCACGCCATCCCTTGAGGAGGGGTGTTGGATCTACAGCTGTGTCTGCAAATGAACCTCAAAGCCACCTCTGGGACCTGAAGGTCGTTGGGCACGTCATCAAGGTGCAGGATGGCAACAGGCAGGGTCTGGCAGGGATGGGAAATACGTGGCCATGGGACCACAGCATCCCCCTGGGGCTGCTCACCTTCCCATACATGTCCTTAACACAAGAAGAGGTTTCACCAACCTCGTCAATGGCACCACGTGCACCTCAAACAACCCAGCAGTTGACCGCATCAGCAACCAGAGTCTTCAAATGTCCAAGTGGACTTCCAGGTCTTCCAGATATCCCAGTTTTATTGGCCAAAACTTCTTTATATTGGCTACAGTGAATCACACTATGGACTGTGCTTTACTGCCCAGCAAGTCATCGCGCTCAGGCTGCTTCCCCTTCATCTGCAGGTGAACTGCTGCCATAACACACACATAGGCTTTCCAAAAAAACTTCTCCTTCTGTAGCAGTCTCCGTCAGAGGATCCCAAACTACTTCTCCGCATCTTTGCAGAACCCTGCAGGGAGGCAGCTCTTTGGCAAGACCTCTCTTCCCAAACACGTGTGTCCAGCATGGGATGCTTAATGCTCCTTGAAGCCAAGACAAGATGTTGGACTTCAATAGAAGCAGCAGCAGACCTGATCTAATCTGCTCTGATGGACTGCAGGAATTCATGCCAGGTATCTCTAAAGGCTCAGGGACCATCAGCCCCGGGAGCATTCCCCAGAATGACAGCTTTGAGTTATGCCTCTCAGCCTCATTTTGACATGTGGCATTTAGTTTTCATGACACTCCCTCTCTCTGGATATATATATATTTAAAAAAATGCAGTGCTGTGATTTTTGGTCTTTCAGCCACTTCAAATGCATAAACCACATTGTGCAATGGTTTTGTGTTTCTGCAAGATCCATTCAAACCCTGGACTTGAAGTTATGTTTTCTGAGGAAGTCATTTAGAAACCGGACAGGGTGACCTAACTTCTTGAAACCAAAAAAAAAAAAAAAAAGAGAGAGAGATGAGAGATCTGGGGAAAACATCCTGTGCTGAATATAATTGTGTGCTTGGTGACATGCACGGTCAAGTCAGCTCTGCCTCAGGGGTGAAAACAAGTCCTTCAGCAGTTTAATATGAAACATAGAATTGGAAGAGAGGATTTGCTCTCCTTGGCCATGGGCTGCAGCCAGGGTAACACCTGGCAATGCCAGGGTAACCCTTGGCAGTGGCTTTGTCGAGGTTGGTCCCAGCCTGCTGCGATTGCAATTATCCCTGCAGCCTCCTGCAATGCTGCTCTGACCTGGAGGGATCAGTCAGGGTTTCCCTGCTGAGCTTTCCAAGCAGAAATTCAGCAGTAGGGTGTCCCTCAGGAGCGGAAATGTTCTCCACCAAAATCCCTTACTTCTGCCCTTCTCATGGTGGGCTCCAGGGACCCTTCAGAAAGCAGCAGACTTTAGCAGACATGGGATGTTTAAGAGCTGCCTATTGCCCTGCCCAGGGCTAACCTGCAATATTCTCCACGAAGAGTTCCCTCTCCATCTACCTTCATGGTTACCTTCACTCAGCAAAATAGATGTTGATTCTGCCACAAGGGGTGAGGGTGATTAAATTCACCAGCATTCGTTATAAAAACCCAAAACCCAAAATCTTCCCCACAAAAGGGCCAGGGAGATCTCAGCTTCTAATGCATCCAGCCTCACACCTCTTCCAGCTTTGAGGAGGGGAGAAAAAGGGACCTTCACCCAGGGCTCCCCATGGCTCGGTGGTTTGGGTGCTCCAGGGCAGAGGAAACGTGGCCTCACGCCCATGTTGACACGTCGAGCTGGTCCTCTGCCTTCCCTCTGAGCCCTCTGACCACCAGACTGCTGTGCGGAAGTGATCATCACCTCCTGCCATTCCCACCACAGCCAACTTTTGGGGCTTCTCCAAAGGGAGAAAGTCCACTTTGAAGCCCACTCATCTGGTTGCCTGCACTGGACCCGGCAGAGCTCTTGGGTGGAGGTATGGAGGAACCATCTCCCTGCATGCCCCCAGACACCCAACAGCAAAACAAGAGGAGCTGGGTGAACTTTCACGAGGGTCAGGCGGCACTGCAGGGCGGACAGCCTGAATCGCTGCGTAGGACATACGTTTTCAGTGACTGAACTCAAGAAAGGGAACCGTTTAAGCCAAGTAGATGCTGCTCCTTGCCTAAATGGGGGCTAATAGCCCAAGTTTTGCAGGCTGCTGTGTGCTGAGCTCCAAGAGCGGGTACCGGCCCCCCTTCCTCCATCTCTGCTACCTGCACGCATTTATCATGGCCACCATACAGAAATTATTTCCGTGAGGAGTGAGGCTCATAGCTGCTTTAGGATCTGGAATTTGTTTCTCCTGAGGGTTTGCTTCGGCCTCTGGGAGTTTCACTGACCGAAAGTTAAATATTGCAAAAGCTGGAAGTTAAACTTGCATCGCAACTTCGCTGTCCCACCACTTCTTCTGGACGGACCCGGCTGCACATCCAGTGGCACTTCTGCCGCAGGGAGCACCCAGAGGTTTTTTCAAATACGTGTTGTAAACAGAAATCCTGTTTACAAAATTACAAATCTGCCTTCTGCAGAAAGCTAAACTCCTCTTTACCAGGCAAGTGATCCAAGGGGGACTTACAGAAAGCGGGAGGTATTTACCTTGATACTGAGAAACGGGTTCCTGCAGAGCGTTTTCCGGGACCGATCCGGGTAGCTGCTCTTCGTAGCAGTGCTCGTCATTCTGTCAGGTCTGCTTTATCCGCCTGCCAAAATAAATCATTCAGCACAATGCTAAGTTGCTCTGCCTGAATTTGCCTTGCTCAGCACAGCAAAATCCTGTCGTGCTTTGCAAACACCCACACAGGAGGCGCAGCGTCGTCGTAAGCAATTCTTAATTATTCCTGGTTTTCATTTTCTTTTAGCGCTTCGCTTCAGCGAAGGAAAAAGGCAGCATGCAAAGCACTAACACACTGATCACCGGGACTCATAAGAAGTGAAAAATTATCAATCATTTCACTTCAAAGCAACAAAGCAGAGCTGGGCCAGGATCTTGGCATTCCCAAATGCCAGCGATACCAGAGCATAACTGGGGCCAACGCTCTTCAACGTAATCAAGGCCAATGTTGTTTAAACATTACCTGGGCCAATACCGTGTAACATCCTTATCAGTGACCTGGGTGATGGGGCAGAGTGCATCCTCAGCCGGCTGGCAGGAGATGCACGACTGGGAGGAGCAACCGACACAGCCGATGGTTGTGCTGCCATACGTAGGGACCTCAATCGGCTGGAGAACCTCATGAAGTTCAACCAGAAGTGCAAAGCCCTGCCATTGAGGAGGAACAACCCCAGTCACCAGCACAGGCTGGGGTCCAACCAGCTCTGCAGAGAAGGACCTTGGGTTGAACATGGGCCAGCAACGCTCCCGCGCAGCAAGGAAAGCCAGCTGGGCTGCGTTAGGAGGAGTGTTGACATGATCTCCAGAGATCCCTTCCAGCCTCAGCCATTCTGTGGTCCTGTAATATCCATTTCAATACGCCTAGAAGGAAGGCAGGCAATATTTACTGTCCCAAATTATGGGACTCTGCTTGCTTTAACTGACCCCTTCATATCCCTGAACCGCAAAGGACATCTCACAGAATCACACACAGAATCACACAGAATC